CATCCACCCACCCAACCATTCATCCATCCACCTACTCATCCATCCATGCACCCATCCATCCATCCATCTACCCACTCACCCATCCATCCATCCACCCATCCATCCATCCACCCACCTATCCATCCACTTAACCATCCATCCACCCACTCACCCATTCATCCACTCATCCACCCACCCATCCATCCACCCACCCACTCATCCATTCATCCACTTAACCATCCATCCACCCACTCACCCATTCATTCATCCACCCATCCATCCATCTACTCACCCATCCACCCATCTACCCACCCGTCTATCCACCCACCCATGCATCCATCCACCCACCCACCATCCATTCGTAGGGCTGTCGGATGCGCATCTGCTATCCATCCACCTTTCTGCCTAAGCTCCATCTACCGCTGCACCCACTCAGCCATCCTTCCAGGTAAATGTCCGGCATGTTCCCCCCCATCCCCCACAGCTGTGCATCATTTCCCTGCACTTTAGGACTCTCCACCCATCCACTCCCACCCTGCCCCTCCATCCTTCTGTTCAGCAGACCGCGAGCGCCACTCGTCACCCTCCCACCCCTCCCCCGCAGCCCTCACTCTCGGAGGCGGGAAGCCCCAATACCTGCCACAGGGCAGAGGCCGAAGGCTGCGGTCCCTCTGCTCCTGGCCGCCTTTCCAGGCGTCGCCCTGCAGCCACACGGCCTCTCTCTACCGCCCCAGGGCTTGTAGCAGGGTCCCCTCAGCTCGGGTCCGACTGGGTCCCCAGGTCGTAAGCCTCCTCTCGTCCGTCCTTCAGGTCTCAGCTCGGCTTCCCGACCACCTACTCACCCGTCCGTGCATCCTCCCAGCCCTCCCCCTCGCCCTCCGTCTCCGTTTTTCCTTCTCCCGGCGTTCACCCCGTCTAGGTCTGACTTCCCGGATCTCCTCTGCTCCGTGATGGCGAGGTAGTGCCTCCACGAGGGTTCTTGTGGGTCCCTGTGGTCCCCGCTGTGTCCCTGGTGCCCGGAGCCAGCCCCGCGCCCCCCAGCGCCGGGGACGGGATGCGCCCCGGTTCTGGACCAGGCTTGCGACTTCTCCCCCATCCAGTCGGGAAGAGTCCGGCCGGGCGCCAGGGGGCTCGTCCCACTCGCCCAGCCGGGGAGAGGCTCCCTCGGCCCGCACCCTGCGCTGCGGTCCCCGCCGAAGGCCCCACCGCGGGCCAGGACACTGCCTGGCGACCCCCGAATCGAGGTCCAATCCAGCGCCTTCGCCTCCAGGCCAGGCAGCCTGGAGAAGCAGCCGCCCTGGAGAGGCAATAAAAGGCGCTGCACCTGTGACCCCCGCACTCTGGGAGGCTGAGGCAGGAGGCTCGCGAGTTGGAGCCCAGCCGGGGCACGTTCGCGACGGGCTCCACGAGTGACCAGCGGACGAGCGGGGGAGGCGGGATGGAGGCGGGTGGAGGGGAGGGGCCGGGGACCGCACCCACCTGCCGGGGCCCGGCGCCGCCAGCTCGG